ATAAGGATTTACTCTATCATTGGATGAATGCCCAGCCATATTTCAAAATCATTAACCTCATATCTAATACGAAATACTGACGGCTCTTTTCATAGTGATTCAAAAAACAAGGGCCCAACTGCATGTATGCATATAGAAACAGAATCTGAATTTTATGGCACTTCTCTGGGATGAACTATCACTAGGACAGAAGTTGGTTGACCTCTTTGTCGCAACTTGGTCTTGTTATCAGAGCGACTTAGTAGAACGCATCTTGTCCAAAATCCTCTCTCATAGTAGTTATCCTAATTCCCAGCATCAGACAATGGACTTGATACATTCTCAGACATTTCGCCGGCATCATAGTCAGTGAGTGCTGCCATTCTCCGCACCAAGCTAAGAACTCGTCAAAAAGACAAGTGAAGTCAATACCATACCGGGGGCCACACCATCTTCGTCCTAGTATCATTGATTATCACTAGAACAGTCGAAAGTATGAAGACCAGAATGGTGTGGCCTTTTGCATTGTCGTGGTCTCCTTTCGTTGTATAGAAGTTGTTTGATCTTGGTTTCGCAACTTGGTCATATTAGCAGGAGGACCTATAGGGACGCACCTTGTCCGGAGTCCATAGTATGCATGCTCATTTCCAGAGTTGGACTTTGGAGACATTCCAAATTTAATGAACAGGAGACTGTAAGAAGACAAAGTCAGTGATAAATTTTCCTATTGCGCAATCAAACTCGGAGAAAACAGGAATGCAATTAAGTTTCAAAAAGAGACGCCTGGATCATGTATATATTATTAATTAGAGAAAAATGGATTGCAAGGAAAAGAAGGTGAGGAAGTTTCGGAAAGGAAGCGAAGACGTTTTCAATGTGATTAGTCAGCTCGAATAAGCAACTCTAACTTGGGGGACCGACGTTTCACGTGACTAGGGCTAGGGATTGGGTTATATAAATCGGGCATTGTGATTAAATGGGCTAATAATCCACTTGAGATGCAGCAGGCGACCAGAGATAGATGCCCACAGTTTGCTCAGGGTACACGGGCTCAATCGAGATGATACGTGAAGGTAATGCCTAATATCCGCAGGCACTGGTGTCAGAGTCTAGGCGCTCTGAAGGCTTGAGAAATAGAACTTAGAATAAAAGTACGCTGGGGCTGGAACCGAGTGAAATCGGTGAACCATCATCACTTGTCTCTTTTATGAGTTGTAGCTTGGTTGCTTAGAATGGTAAGACTTACTAATGATGCCAACTACGATGCTGGCGAAATATCTGTGAGTGTGCCATGTCCACGCTCCGACTCTGGAAATGAGCATGCATACTATGGATTCTGGACAAGGTGCGTTCCTCTAGGTCTTCCTGCTAACATGACCTAATTGCGAAACCAAGGTCAAATAACTTCTATCACTAGGAAAGTCTTACAATCGTTTGACTGAGGTCATCTCAGAGCTGATGCTGCACGCTCAAATAGCTCACCAAAAGTGGTAATCTGGGTCACTGTCTAGGTCATCTGGCCATTGTGTCCTAGTCGTCTAGGCCCATGCCATATGCACATTTAATAGATATCTTAAATATTGAACTCGAACGTGATTCGTTAAATATAAGTTGTTTGACCTTGTTTTCTCAATTTGATCATATTGGCAGGAAGCCTAGAGGAACGCACCTTGTCCGGAGTCTATAGTATGCATGATAATTTCCAGAGTCGGACAATGGACTTGGTACATTCTCTGAAGTTTCGCCGGCATCGTCAGTGGGCCTTGCCATTCTTAGCACGACACTGCAACTCGTCAAAGAGACAAGTGAAGTCGATCCTTTGACCAAATGTTTGCTAAACAGTTGTAATATCTCTCCTGTCCTGGGCTATTCACCTTCCCAATATCCTTTTATCACCCCTTCAATATCACAATTTCTTACTTGCTTTTCTAGACCTATTTGAAATATATTCACACTCTCCGCTTGTTTCACCATTCCTCTGTGCCTGGAGTGTTGATCCAAGGCTGCGGTTTATTCCGCAATACTCTCTCTTCGGGTCCGATCAGAGTCCCCTCTTGCCCAGTAGGATCCTTCCCTTTTCTGCCTATTTTAGTGATTTTACTCCATCGCTGCCACCGTATCCATGCTACTCAAGGCGTTGCTCTACACTCTGCCTCAAGCCTTTGATAGCACATATACACCAGCCTTATTACACAAGTCCCTAAAGTCTGTATTCTCATTTGGAATGACAGTCTAATTTGTAGCTGCAGATTCCCTTATCGCTGTGCCGAATGCGAACTGAATAAATCTCATGGTCAAGCCTTTACTTCATGGACCACGTCTATGAACAAACTTATCCACTAATAGTCAACTAGAAATGGCCACAACCGTTTCTCTCGCTCTCTGACATTCTATTGCGTACCACCCACCAAATGTGATTGTTCTATTTGATTTGAATAGGCTCACTGTAGACGTATTCTATCCGTTTCCGATTGTTTCTCTCTAGTCTCTTAATAATTTCTTTTCCTAAAATTAAAAGTATTATCTTTGTCTAGTTGTCTTCTTTTTGCTGATTCCTTAAAGTCTGACAAATTTGAATAATTTTGATTGTGGTAAGTTCTTAATACTCTAGTCGTCTCCGGTCTTATTAGTGCATAACAAAGCAAGATTAGTCATTCCACTGTTTTATATCCAATTATTTTTCATTTTCTCCCATTCCTTTCCTCAGAGAGTGTAGTGAATTAACAATTGTTGCTTGTGGTAGGCAATTTGAGTTCTCTATGAGAATATTTTGAAATTCTTCTCCAAATAAAGCCTCCTCATAAGTTTCGCCTTCTTCCCATTACTTGCCTTATTTGAATGTAGGACATTCTCCGCTGTCGAGTTTTGACTTCCGGCATCTTCGAAACCCGATTTTGTGTTGACAAAGTTCAATTTCACATGTTTGATGTTGGTGGACAGAGAGACGAGCGGCGCAAGTGGATTCAATGTTTTAACGATGTCACAGCTATAATCTTTGTCACCGCTTGCTCTTCCTACAACATGGTTCTTCGAGAAGACCCAAGTCAAAACCGGCTACGAGAATCTCTGGAACTATTTAAGTCGATCTGGAGCAATCGGTAAGATTTATTTAGTGTCTGACCTTGCTCTTCATACTGCTGGTCTATTAGCACTGTAAAAATTTTATCTGTCTTGCATTTTAACTATGCTAAGACTTGGACCCTAAATGTTACACTGACTTGTAGTAACATCTCTTCCAGGGCCACTGATTAAGAGCAGTATTGTCACACTTATTTACTCTTTGCCTCCAGAGCCTCCAGAAGTTATTCGCATCTCGTAATTACAAGTCGGTGCATTGTTTATTTTTTAGGGCGATCTTAAATTCTTTTGCATCCTTTTCTGTTTAAGAAGCCATAAATAGATCTTTTATTAGGGTCAATGTAGGCAAAGCATC